TTATGCTACTATCCTAGCCAGGGGGCGTGTTCAGGATGCACCTTAGATGTTATGCTAATATCCTAGCCAGGGGGCGTGGTCATGATGCAGCAGCTGTGTTTTATGCTAATGTCCTAGACAAGGGGGCGTGGTCAGGATACACCTTGGATGTTATGCTAACATCCTAGACAAGGGGGCGTGGTCAGGATGCAGCAGCTGTGTTTTATGCTAACGTCCTAGACATGGGGGCGTGGTCAGAACGCAGCAGCTTTTTGTTTTAAGCTAATGTCTTAGACGGGGGCGTGGTCAGGATGCAGCAGCTGTGTGTTATATGCTAACGTCCTAGACATGGGGGCGTGGTCAGGACGGGGGCGTGGTCAGGGAGCTGAGGTCTTCCTGCTAACATGAACACGTGGTTCCGTCTGCCTTCCTGCTTCTCTGTCGGCGTGTGAAGGTTTTCCAGCCTGACTCCTCTTTTTTCTCCTCCTCCGACACCAGGAGCGGACCTTCTCCCGTCTGCTTTTTATTTCGCTCCTCCTCCTCCAGCTCCTGCCAGGCTGCCTCCGTTCTCTGTGACGTGTCCCGGTTATACAGACAGCCAGGCCGCTGTCCCTCCAACGTGGATCCCCTCCGGCTGAACGTGTGTGCGCGAGAGAGTGAATAAGTGTGTGCGCGCGCGTGCGTTTCCTCCTCCAACACCGATCTGTCCTCCTTAACCCCCCACCCTCCTTCTCTCTCCCTCCCCCTCTCTCACCTAATTCCTCGGTCATGACGCTGGAAGCGATCCGCTACCGGACCGGGTCCCTGCAGATCCTCAACCAGCTGCTGCTGCCTCACCAGACCGTTTACGATGACGTCCGCTCCGTGCAGGACGCCTACGAGGCCATCAAGACCATGAAGGTACGTCCTCTCTGCACCCCCACCCCGTTTGTGCATGTGCTCGGTCGGCTCTTTTGTGCTGCTGCCGTCGCCGTCGGCCTCCGTGGGTTTTTGTTTGGGTGCACCTGGAGCTGCCCCATCCTAAAGCTGCCTCCATTCATATTTTCCACATGATGGTGCGGAATGGATGTAGCTTGTGTTTGAGCTACATCCACCCACCAACACCCCTCCTCCGATTTTCTTTGGGAGAGATTATGAATGAATTATTAATGACCCTTGCCAGGGCTTTTGTTCACGTTCTGGTCTTGTGGAGCACTCTGGCGTGCCCAGCTCATGCAACTCTCACTGTTTGAATCAGCAGCAGGAGAGGGCACTTTTCAGGATTATTTCACTTAGATCTGAGGAGAATTTGACTCTATTTTACAACGTTAATGAAGCAGTGTGCCCAAAGCAGGGAGATAAATAATCTAATTTAGATCCATTTTGGTGATAGGTCTTCGCTCAGTAACTCAAATGTGATAGAAAAAGATTTAAAGGTCTCTCTGGATGCACCAAAAATTCAGCCACCAAAATGACCCCAAACTGCAGATCTAAATCATGGAAACAACACAGCCAGAATAGGCCGTCGGGTGAACCCCGTTCTTGTTCATCATGCTTCCACCTGTGGTAGATACCTGCTCTTTCCTTCATAGAAATAATACATTCGTAGAGATTTCAAAAGTAAGGTTTTTCCCTTTTGGTAATGCTGTTTTATGACCACTGTTGTTCTGAAAAATCCCCTCAAAGCCAGTAAGCTATTATTGTAACCTTTGACCTCTAAAAACAACAAATTAAAGGAAACTTCTAGAACTATACAGCATACTGTAGGGAACAGAGACATACGATGTATGTGCGGTATTGCACAAGTATTGAACACATACTGAGTATTTCTGTTATTGTGTACCAGGATAATACCTATACAGTATGCCACCCAGCTCCTTGTGCAATCTACTGTCATCTCCCCCCTCGATTACTGCAATGCCCTTCTAACTGGTCCTCCAGGCTGTACTGTGAGACCTCTTCAAATGGTCCAGCGCGTCTGGTCTTCAATCAGCCAAAAAGAGCACACGTCACCCCTCTGTTCATTGAGCTCCACTGGCTACCGCTAGCAGCACGCATCAAATTCAAATTGCTAACACTAGCATACAAAGTCCTGGATGGTACGGCTCCCATCTACCTGAATCCTCTTGCAAAGGCTTACATCTCGGGCTGGCTGCTCCGGTCATCACAGGATCGTCGGCTAGCAGTGCCTACACCACGCTCAGGACAATCCAGACTCTTCTCGTGTATCGTTCCACAAATGTGGAATGGCCTACCAAGCACTACCAGAACAGGGGCTTCCTTTTCAATTTTCAAGAAACTCCTGAAGACCCTGCTCTTCAGAGAGCATCTTCTAAACTAGCACCCTCCCTGCACCCCCCCCCCCACCCACCGTCCACTCCTTGTTCCCTCCTCTCCTTGATTCATCATGCTGCGTCACTGCCACCTAGGATTGCCTGGTAGTGTTTGTTGTTAGCCTCAAGGGCGACCTGCTGCCCTTGTTGGCAGCCAAGAACCCAGCTAGTGTTTTAACTAGCTTGTTCAGTCTCGGTCTTGGTCAGAGCTGCCTGCACCCCAACCGACCACAGCAGAGCGATAAATGGATTTTAGGGGAATAATTTCTCACGTTATTTTGTGACCTCACAGGATGAGCTGTGAAACCCTTTCCCTCTCGTTTGACGTCAGAAGTGCTCTCAGTTGGAAGGAGGCGTGTGTGTAAAGCTCTGTTTTGTTACATGCCGCTTTTGTGTTAAAAGGGAGTTTTCCTCTCCACTGTCGCTGCATGCTTGCTTAGTATGAGGATTGCTGTAAAGACTACTCGATGCGACCTGCTGGGCTTCTTATATAGGAAACTTGTTGCTGATTGGCTTAATGACCTGACCTGTACTGGGATGTTTTCTGAGTGAAGGTCCTTGATTTGGTGCTTTTTAAATAAACTGAATTGAAAACTGAAATAAATTTCACGTCTGGTGGAAAGAAGGGATGAGAATGAAATGAGTTCAGGTCAACGGGGCGAAAAGAGCTATTTTCTAATCCACTTTATGCCTTAACTCACACACCTTGTACTTCTATTTAAATGAAAAGTAATGATGGTGTTTCGACCACACCTGCCACGTACTTTGAGATTAATCAGCTTGTAAAAGTTTGTAATCAGCATGACTACAAATCAGACGTCGGCGCGTCACATATGTGACGTCACCACAGAGTCTCCTCCCCCTAGCGTAGCTGCTACTCACCACATGACCAGATTTATGGTGGTTCTTTCCTCCTGAAGGAAGGATTTGAAGTTCGCTGAACTTACAGCCATTTTCCCTGTTTTTCTGGTTCGATAGCATCACTTTGATGATGCACATTTGTAGTTCTGGACTTATTTTCACATGAAACCTAAAACAACATCCCCCCCCCCCCGTTCAAAAACGAGCGTTTTCATGGCATCAGAATATGTCTTTAACATTCCATGCGCTCAGACCGACATCTAAGTGGTTCCAGGTCGATCTTATTAGCGAATGCACAACAACGCTGCAGCAGTTATTTGGGACGTCCTGTCCTGCTTTATGCTGTTACACGTGTTGCTTTGTGACGATGGTCTTGTCAGAAGACTGCGTCTGCGGTCCCGTCACTTCCCGTATGCGAGCGTCCTACCGGTTTAGTTTTCTGACTCGTTTACATGCAGAATGTAATCTGATTACTGCTGCATTACCTGGGTGCTTCAGCTCGGTTTCAACCAGTTCGCCTCCTTCAGCCAGACTAACAAGTTTACATGCAAATAACCCTTAAGGACCCATGGTCACACTGGTGTCGCATCCCATTTCAAACATCTGCAAATTTGCTTCTGGAGTAATATTCAAGTTTAACAACTCCAGGTGAAATCCTATACGTACGTAGATTGAACATTATTAAACTTCTCGTATTCTAATGAATGTTTTTCTACATTTTGATGTATTTTTTTCCCAATCTGTTTTCTATTTCAAAAGGGCTTGGGTCCTTAAGGCTTAAAAAACAGACGTGGGTCTCTTTAGGGATTACTCTGGTTTTCTGATGTGAACTCACGGGCATCAAATGTGAAATCTATGGCTCGAAACAAATGGGATTAAGAAGGAGCTTTTGTAGCCCCGTTGACTCATCTTTGTTGTTCTGGGGACCCATGGTCCAGAAGTAGCCACTTTGTAGCCTACGTCCACGTTAGTGGTGTGCTTGTTGCTATGGTAACGGTTATGTTGTAGGTGTGCAGAGATGTCTTTTGTGGTACGTAGTCGTTTAACACTGTTTTTATTGGAGAACGTACCTAATCTCACAGGCTGTACATTTATTATTGATTCTTTTTATTTACAGTTTATTACTTAATGTAAATGAGTGGGGTCAAGTCAAACGTTTCATTTAGAGTTTTAGTTTATATTGTGCATTGTTGTCATGTCAGTGCTAAATAAATATTCTCACGGTTTTTATTGATTTATTGAAACGCCTTGGTTTTAGTAAGGCTAGCACACATTGTAGTTATACATGCTTTGGCTTTAATTACTCACACAATCTTTTATTTCGATGTTTTGCTTTTAGGATTTCGACCTTGGTTTTGTCATTTTTTGGTTTTGGCCAGTAAAATAATACGTGGCTTCCTCACCGTCACCTCACAGGTTCGAGGAGCCCCTGCCATCGCCATCGTGGGCTGCCTCAGCCTGGCTGTGGAGCTGCGAGCGGGTGCTGGGGGTGATGACCCTGTTACCTTCATTAGGGAGTCTCTGTGTCATCTGACTTCTGCCAGGCCCACTGCCGTCAACATGGGCCGTGCTGCACGCGAGCTGATGGAGTTTGCGGAAAATGAGAGTATGGAGAAAAACTCGGAGCAGCTCAGAGAAAGGTGAGCATCTACAGCGTTCTCACATAGACTCGCCGGATTTGTGTAGACGAGTCCTTTTGGTTCCTAAACAGGAGTTTCTTGTAAAAACGAAGCAACAGGCTGACAGCAGAGGAGCGAAGAGAGTTTAGCTGTTCACAGAAAAGACCGCGGCTAATGTTTTCAGACCTGAGTGTTAAACCTGTGGAGTTCCAGTAGTTTTTACTCGGTTCTCCATAACGGGCATATTTCACTGTATTAGCAGGCAGTGCGTTCTGAACATGGACGTAATTTTGGGGGGGGACAGGGGGGACATGTCCCCCCCACTTTTTCCAAAATCAAGTTCTGACCCCTGTACTTTTTACCATCCAAAAACAATATTACGCTATATTAAATTGACAGTGGTTGAGCTCTGAAACCAAGTGGAAAACAGCCATTTGTGTTGAAACCTGTTTCCCATTAGAGCATACTGTAAAGATCCCCCCCCCCCCCCCCCCCGTGTCCCCCCCACTTCTCAAGTGAAAATTACGTCCATGGTTCTGAATGACTCTGGCACTAACGCACGAACATCTGCTCAATGTCTGCAACGCCGACTGAGTCAAAGTTAGTTAGCAGTAGTGGCCATCTTGAACAGTGGTGACTCAAAGCATTAAGTCAATTTTATGATTACTTTCTGAATGCTTATATTAAAATCTATATTAGTTTAATATAATTTTGATTTAAACCCGACTTAAACATGGTGGAGCGTCTAAAACGAGCTGCTGCTGTAACGCTGATGCACACAGGTGTTTCCTGGGAAAAGTTGCTCATTATCAGGTGCAAAGGTGCAAATTAGAAAAATAACATGTCATTGCTGCAGAAAAAGGTCAGGGGTCGGCAACCCGCGGCTCCCTGTGTTTATAAAATAATGAATGAATATTTAATAAAAATGTGTTTTATTTTTCTGCATTCATTTTTTATCTGCATGCCAATTCTAAGAGTAAAGATCGTCTTGTTTTAAAACCTAAACAAAAGGATAAAGACCTGAGGTGACGGGCCTCTATAGGAGCTTTCTGAGCTGAAGAGGATGTGAGCTTCTGGACTCAGACAGGCTCATGGAGGCGTCGCCACACTGGAAACAGGAACCAGCGCTATTCAGCCAAAGCTTCATCATCAGGGACATTTTCTAAGTGACACGTCTCTCTGAGAGACGGGGTTAGGAGAACACTCGCTTCAGTGAGAGGAATCTTCCTGCGTGGTTCTGGTTCTGCTGCTGCCGGTGACCCACGCGCTCCAAGCTCCTCTCCACCTTACGTACGAGCTGACGGCGAGCTGCGTTGGGCGGGGTCCAGCTCAGATGTTCTGATGGGAATTATCTACCTCCTCTGTGTGCATAATGATTAAAATGTCAGCCACCTGCACACGTCGGGGTAATTCTTCCTAAACGACCAACAGGCTGGAGGTCTCTCCGTCCAAACAAACGGTCAAATACGGGAAATATCGGGTCAGTGCGAGCCCCGCCTTTCAACCGTTTAGTGAAGATTGTTGCAAAGAGAAACGGATAAACCCGTTTAACACCAGAGCCGTTATCTCCGTGACTTTAATTACTCCCAACAAGACGGAGCCTGGATTTGGGTTCTGAACAGTTTAAACCAATCAGTCAATCAGGTTTACTTATATAGCACATACCACCACCTTATCGGAGGCCCGAGGAGCTGAGCAGCACATAAAAACAACACAGCAGATAAGAGAGTAACATTGATGAAAAAGTAAATAGAAAAGTAAAAGTAATTAAGAACCATACAGTACAGAAGGTAAAAATACAAAAGCCAGGGTTAGGGTTAGGGGGAAAGCTAGTAGATAAAAGCGAGTTTTCAGGTGAGACTTAAACTCCTGTAGAGAAGGAGCTAGCTTCACTGCCAGAGGGAGATCGTTCCATAAGGAACGTTACTGAGAAGGCTGCAAAAAGCAGAGACCCGACCCTCAGGCCACCAAAACGGATCCTCTCAACACCTTAGTTGCGCCTAGAAGTCCTGTTTGTGACATTATCCTCACATTTTATTTTGAAACCTTATTCATGTCACTTTTTTCATGTAAGAGATCAGAGGAAGTTCAGCAGGAAAATTATGAAGAAGGTGAGACAGGCAGCGCCAGACCTGCTGAGGGTGAGACAGGGAGAACCAGACCTGCTGAGGGTGAGACAGGCAGCGCCAGACCTGCTGAGGGTGAGACAGGGAGAACCAGACCTGCTGAGGGTGAGACAGGCAGCGCCAGACCTGCTGAGGTGCAGGTAGGTGCTACAATGAAGAGTGAGATTTTAGATGGTTGTTGATGAGAGGAAGATTCGAGCATGAAAACAAGTGAACACGACTAAATAATACTATAACAACCATGATTTTAATGTTGCACTAGTCGTCCAACAGTGTTTTTACTCCTTATTCATGTCCACTGTTTTTATATTAGAGATCAGATGAAGTTCAGCAGGAACCTGCTGAGGGCGAGACAGGGAGAGCCAGACCTGCTGAGGGTGAGACGGGGAGAGCCAGACCTGCTGAGGGTGAGACAGGGAGAGCCAGACCTGCTGAGGGTGAGACGGGGAGAGCCAGACCTGCTGAGGGTGAGACGGGGAGAGCCAGACCTGCTGAGGGTGAGATGGGGAGAGCCAGACCTGCTGAGGGTGAGACGGGGAGAGCCAGACCTGCTGAGGGTGAGACGGGGAGAGCCAGACCTGCTGAGGGTGAGACGGGGAGAGCCAGACCTGCTGAGGGTGAGACGGGGAGAGCCAGACCTGCTGAGGGTGAGACAGGGAGAGCCAGACCTGCTGAGGGTGAGACGGGGAGAGCCAGACCTGCTGAGGGTGAGACGGGGAGAGCCAGACCTGCTGAGGGTGAGATGGGGAGAGCCAGACCTGCTGAGGGTGAGACGGGGAGAGCCAGACCTGCTGAGGGTGAGACGGGGAGAGCCAGACCTGCTGAGGGTGAGACGGGGAGAGCCAGACCTGCTGAGGGTGAGACTGGGAGAGCCAGACCTGCTGAGGGTGAGACGGGGAACGCCAGACCTGCTGAGGGTGAGACGGGGAGAGCCAGACCTGCTGAGGGTGAGACGGGGAGAGCCAGACCTGCTGAGGGTGAGACGGGGAGAGCCAGACCTGCTGAGGGTGAGACGGGGAGAGCCAGACCTGCTGAGGGTGAGACGGGGAGAGTCAGACCTGCTGAGGGTGAGACGGGGAGAGCCAGACCTGCTGAGGGTGAGACGGGGAGAGCCAGACCTGCTGAGGGTGAGACGGGGAGAGCCAGACCTGCTGAGGGTGAGACTGGGAGAGCCAGACCTGCTGAGGGTGAGACTGGGAGAGCCAGACCTGCTGAGGGTGAGACGGGGAGAGCCAGACCTGCTGAGGGTGAGACGGGGAGAGCCAGACCTGCTGAGGGTGAGACGGGGAGAGCCAGACCTGCTGAGGTGCTACAGTGAAGAGTGATATGATTTTAGGTGGCTGATGAGAGGAAGATTTGGATGTGATAAGTGAACACAGTTGAATGTATTTAATCCCAACAAGTAGGGCTGGGCAGTACGGCTTAAGAATAAAACAAATGCTTCCTTAGAAATATTAGAAAAATAAGTGTTAAACTGCATTCTGGCACATTTAAACTGCTATTTTGGCCACTGTTTTTTCTTTTGTCCATCTGAAAATGAATGTAGTTCCAGCTGCTGTTGTAAGTGAATAATTTCTTTTTTTATTCTGTCAGAAACAGACTTTTCTGATTGTTGGTCAGCATTGTTGGCTGATGTAGTTTAAAATATTCTGATGAGAGTCAGATCAATTCAGTTTGAATATTCACAGCTTTAGTCTTGTATTAAATCTGTTTACACATCTCTACTCATATGAATAAGATAATATATCCTACATTCATATTATTAAATAAAAATAAAACAGTAGTGACACATAAACAGCTTTTTATAATTAAAACGTCCACGTTGGCCGGCGGTAATCACCTGGATCTGGCTAATGGGGAGCCCAAGTCTCCTCCCCTTCTGGCTGGCTCATGGGTTCCCGATCAAAAAAAAAAACCCAGAATGTTAGTGAACTGGGCTATAAAAGTTATTTTCTTGTCTTTCTGGGCTTTCCCTTACGCCTTGAGTCACATCTGTCAGGCTTTTCTAATCCTAGAGTTTCACCATCTATCAGATTTTCTATCAGAAGCTAATGCCGGAGATAGTGGTAGGAGACTATGTTCATGTTCAGCCTGCATGAAACACTCAGTGACACGCTCGAATCAGAAATGATCATTAATTGTCATTTACTTCAGTGAGGTTGACCTACAGTATATATTGGCCTACAACAGATTTGTTAGTTTTCCAAAATGTCCCCCCCCCCCCACCCCACCCCCAATATTAAATTCGTTCCTATGCCCTTGGTGCTCGGCATGCACTAGTGCAATTTAAGGTGGTCCACCGTGTCCACCTGTCTAAGTCCAAGTTGGTACGTCTATACCCAAACATAGACCCAACTTGTGAACATTTTAGGGGTGCTCCTGGCTCTTTACTACATATGTACTGGTCGTGCCCCTCCCTGGCTAACTTTTGGAGATCAGTTTTCGGTCCAGTCTCTGAAGTTCTGCAGTGTCAGGTGGAGCCAAACCCCGTCTCTGCTATATTTGGTGTTGCCCCAGATCTGACCGTACCACATTCCAAACTAAGAATCCTATCCTTGTTGACCTTACTGGCCAGAAGAGCTGTTCTGCTGAAGTGGAAGGACTCTTTTTCCTCCCTCTCATGTCCACTGGATACGAGATACTGTTATGCATGGATCTTGAAAAAGTCAGATACACTGTCCGTGGTTCTGTAAACAAATTCTATAAAGCTTGGCAAACTTTTTTGACATTCGTTGAGAAATCCACAACTATTGTTTCTGAGTAGCACCCCCCACCCCCCCCCCCCACCCCCCCCCCCATCCTTTTTTTTTTCTCTAATTTCCTTTCCTGTTCAGGGTTGGCATTCTGGGGTTTGTTCTTGGGGGAAAACTTGAGAAAATTCACGTTGTTTTGAAATGTCAGGTCTATTTTTCTAAAATAAAAAAGACATGAATAAAAGAAATCTTGGTGTCATAACTGATTCAGACCTGAGCTTCACTGCTCACATTAAGGCTAGAACTAGATCAGCGTTTTATCATCTGCATCAAACATCACGACTCAGAGGTCTCATGTCCAGACCAGACTTAGAGAAACTCATTCATGTGTTCATCTCCAGCAGGCTGGACTATTGCAATGGTCTCCTAACTGGTCTTCCCAAAAAGCTGTGAAGCAGCTGCAGCTTGTTCAGAACGCTGCTGCTAGTCTTAACAAGAACCAAGAGAACCGAACACATCACTCCTGTTCTTAGGTGTCTACACTGGTTACCAGTAAACTACAGAATCTGTTTCAAAGTGCTACTACTAGTTTATAAATCACTCAATATCATGGAGCCAGAATACATGTCAGATATCCTTCCTGTAGCCCAGCAGGAGGTCCTTAGGAAGAGGTCAGCTGGTAGAACCGGGTCAGAACCAAACATGGTGAAGCTGCTTTTAGCTACTATGCTGCACACAGATGGAATCAGCTTCCTCGTGACCTCAGATGGGCCACAGCTCTAGAAACGTTTCCATCAAAATGGAAAACATTCATGTTTTCATCAGTCTTTAACTCGTTCACTGCCAGCCGTTTCCTGATCGCTAACGGCCTTCGCTGCCAGCGTTTCTCACCGTTTTTACAGTTTTTTTAAGTCACAGAACGTTGCACGCTAGGATGATGTCGATTCCAAAACAAAGAGGAGACTCGCCTCTTACATCAGGAAGAATTCGTGTGTTTCGAGCGTTATCCGTTCTTTCATAATTCGTTGTTGAATTGTGATCGGCAAACACTTTTCCGGTTCGCGCCTCACTTTTTTTACAGGAACGGCCCAAAACGATCTCCAAACACATGGATGGTCTGCTTCCTGATCATGTGATCTGTGACGTATGCGGATGAAGATCGGCTTCAGGGCTGAGATGTTTGTTCTCTCAGCGCGGGGGCTCGTTCTGATGCTCAAACTGTAAAAAATGCAAATGACGACTTTAGTCGTCATTGGCAGTGAACAGTTGGATCTAAAATGACGACTTTAGTCGTCATTGGCAGTGAACAGTTGGATCTAAAATGATGACTTTAGTCGTCATTGGCAGTGAATGAGTTAAATTAATGTTCTCATTCTGCACCTTCTGCACTGTAGCTGCTCACCCTTCAACTTTGTTTCTGTTTCATTTTAAATTTTGTTTTCTGTCACGTTGGTTTGAATGTTCTTGCTAATGGAAAGCACGTTGAGTTGCCTCTGTGTGCTATAGAAATAAAGCTGCCTTGCCTTGTGTAATGGCCGCCAAAATACACGTCTGGAACACGTGCTTTGATGCCAAAGGGGACTAAAAAGCACTCATAAAAAATGCACGTATGGTGACACTTAGTACTAAAATAAAAGCTGCTTCAGTTTGCTAGATGAACAGTGGAAGTAAAAAATGTTCAGGCTAAATGCTTATAACGTTATTCCGCTCAAATAAAGTGGTTAATGCTATCCAGCCTATGCTGGATTTCTGACGAGGGGTGTTTATCTTTACTTCTGTTTATGTATTTGTTTTCTGTACAGCACTTGGGGGTTACGTTTGTGCCTGTAAAGCGCTACACAAGTAAAGACTGAGCTGAGTTGCTTTGAGTCATTTTGCAGACACGTTGTTGCTGTTGATTGTATGAAATTTTTTCTTTTGACTGACTTAAAAGGCCATTATTGATCAAACTGATCAATAACCTTGTCTCTGCAACAGCAGTGCTGTTGATTCAGGATCTGATGGGAAATCGAACATAACTTCATTTGAACGCTCCTCTCAGAATCCTGACTCATCTGTGTCAGCGGCGTGAGGAAAACATTCTCTGGACTAATTATTGCTGGGCGAGGATGTATGATATGAAATATATATGACGTCTTTTAGAGCAAATATTTGGGAGTTCAAAGTCCACGCTGGCATAGCATATGAGAAAATCTTAACATTATTTAGGGTTGATTATGACAGAAAATATATTTTCTGGTTAAGAATTGAATTTGACAAGCTGATATAAGAGCAAGTTTGACTGAAATAAGCACTCGTTACAACCGAGGAATGCAGCAAAGCATTGGTGAAGCCACAACACACACAACCATGAGGCGGATTGGCTACAACAGCAGAAGACCCCGCTGGGTACCACTCATCTCCACTACAAATGAGGAAAAGAGGCTACAATTTGCACCAGCTCACCAAAACTGGACAGTTGAAGACTGGAAAAATGTTGTCTGGTCTGAAGAGTCTGGATTTCTGTTGAGACATTCAAATGGTAGAGTCAGAGCATTGTTCCTGACCATGTCCATCCCTTCATGACCACCATGTACCCATCCTCTGATGGCTACTTCCAGCAGGATAATGCACCATGTCATAAAGCTTGTCATTTCTAATTGGTTTCTTGAACATGACGATGAGTTCACTGTACTACAACGGCCCCCACAGTCACCAGATCTGAACCCGATAGAGCATCTTTGGGATGTGGTGGAACGGGAGCTTCGTGCCCTGGATGTGCATCCCACACATCTCCATCAACCGCAAGGTGCTATCCTGTCAATATGGGCCAACATTTCTAAAGATGCTTTCAGCATCTTATTGAATCAACGCCACGTAGAATTAAGGCGGTTCTGAAGGTGAAAGGGGGTCAAACGCCGTATTGGTGTGGTGGTCCTACCATGGCGCAACAGCCATTTTTATGACAGAACATGACCACAGTATTACTACCAAGCGAGACGGAACGAATGCCGCAAACTTAGCGCAACGCCATGCCGGCATGGCACGTTTATAAGACACACTGTTGCGGTAATACTACGCTGATTTGCCGGTACGGTGTGTTTTGTAAAATGGGCTACAAGGCGTGTTTCTATTGGCGGAACTTCAGAGTAAATTCGGCCGGTTGTTTGGTCAATGTCTGCTGTTGTAATTTCCTACTGAGTTTCAACCAATCAGCATGAGTTTAATAAATGTTCTGCTCAGTTACTCCACTGGGTCATTCCGAGTAACTACCCCTGATCAGGTACTCGGAAAGTTCCTGAAAATGGCCCAGAAAACAGCTGTTCGGCTGGCCCAGTAAGTGGAGACACGCGCATGTTGGGAAGTTTCTATGATTTTACCATGAAGTTCCAATAATGGAAACCAACCTAAAGGCCTCCTCTCATTCTGATTCCCCCCCCCCCCCCCCCCCCCCCAGTGTAATTGCCTGGATCGAAGACATGCTGGAGCGTGACGTCAATGACAACAAGAAGATTGGTAACTACGGAGCTCAGCATATCCTCTCAGGCGTCCCAAGGGACTCTGTGACTATCCTCACACATTGCAACACCGGCTCACTGGCCACGGCTGGATACGGGACCGCGCTGGGTGAGACAGAAGCTCAGGATCTGAATGGAGGCAGATTGTGAAGATTTTTTAGTCCTCTGACTGACTGTGACGCTGCTCTGTATGCAGGCGTGGTGAGAAGCCTGTACACTCTGGGCAGGCTGAAGCGTGTTTACTGCACGGAAACAAGGCCATACAACCAGGGGTCCAGATTGACAGCGTATGAGATGGTCGCTGAGGGAATACCTGCTACCCTTATTACAGACAGCATGGCCGCCCTCACCATGAGAGAAATGGACATCACAGGTGTGTTTTTGAATAGCGTCATATCTCTTTTCTTTATCTTTATCCAAACTTTACTTCTTGTGTTGTTCTGCAGCCGTGGTTGTAGGTGCTGATAGGGTGGTTGCCAATGGTGACACAGCCAACAAGGTGGGCACATACCAACTGGCCATTGCTGCTAAGCATCATGGGATCCCTTTCTACATAGCTGCGCCCAGCACATCGTGCGACCTGAGCCTGGAGAGTGGCAGGGACATCATCATAGAAGTGCGCCCTCCAGAGGAGCTCACCAGCATAAACGGGGTTCCTATCGCTGCCCCAGGTAAGAACAAGGACAAAAAAAGGGCTTGAACTAAAAAAATTGGACAGCATTTTTATTTATTTATTTTTACAAATAAAAGCAAAATCAAGAAAGTGAAGACACTGAAATGGAGATTTGGCATATAAGTTTAGGGTTAGGTGGCTATTTATTTTATTACCTGTTCAGAAATATCTTAATATGTTTATGTATTTAGCAGACGCTTTTGTCTAAAGCGACTTACAAGTGATAATCGGCATGTTGCCCTTGAGGCTAACAACTACAATAACAACAACTTGACATCAATCATGGAGAGGAGGGAACAAAGGAGTGGACAGTAGAGAGGGGGACGGGTGCCGGGAGGGTGCTAGTTTAGAAGATGCTCTCTGAAGAGCAGGGTCTTCAGGAGTTTCTTGAAAAATGAAAAGGAAGTTCCTGTTCTGGTAGTGCTTGGTAGGTCATTCCACATTTGTGGAACGATGCATGAGAGGAACCTGGATTGTCCTGAGCGTGGTGTAGACACTGCTAGCCGACGATCCTGTGATGACCGGAGCAGCCGGGCCGAGACGTAAGCCTTTGCAAGAGGATTCAGGTAGATGGGAGCCGTACCATCTCTGACTTTGTATGCTAGTGTTAGCAATTTGAATTTGATGCGTGCTGCTAGCGGTAGCCAGTGGAGCTCAATGAACAGAGGGGTGACGTGTGCTCTTTTTGGCTGATTGAAGACCAGACGCGCCGCTGCATTCTGGACCATTTGAAGGAGCCAGAGATAGGAAGTCCTTTTTGATTGAGATATTGTGCTGTATGGATGGTTTTGCTGGGATGACAAGTAGTTCAGTTTTAGGGAGATTGAGTTGGAGATGGTGGGATTTCATCCATTTTGATATGTCAGAGAGACAGTTTGATATTCGTGCAGAGACAGTGTGGTCGTCCGGTGGAAATGACAGATAGAGCTGGGTGTCGTCTGCATAGCAGTGGTAGGAGAAGCCATGTGATCGAATGATCTCACCCAGTGAGGTGGTGTATATGGCAAAGAGAAGAGGTCCTAGTACAGAGTCCCGGGGGACTCCTGTGGCAAGATTGTGCACAGTACAGGATTGTTCAAGCCAAGATACACTGAATGATTGTCCTGTGAGGTACGATTCAAACCAGGCGTGGGCTTTCTCTGTGATGCCCATGAACATAAATATATCAACATCCTATTGAAGAGACAAAGTTAATCATCCTAGAAATTCAGAGCCGTACAGAATCGCTTAGATGGCCGGAAATGGCCCCCGAGCTTTACTTTGGACATGTCTGGTCAACAGTGTGAAAGGCTGCAGTCAGGTCCAGCAGAACCAGAACAGAACAGTCCCCTGCATCACTGTGTCAGAAGGTCATTCGAGTACCCACATTTGACCACAAGATGACAGTATTACTTCAGTATTACATAATGCACCTTTAAATGTGTATAAATATGTTTCAAAAGAGAACAGAAATGAATTTTAGTTCTGTATTTGATCAGTTTGGGGTTTTGAGTCACACTGAATCGTGCACTGAAGTCCGAGGTGTGTGTGTGTGTGTGTGTGTGTGTGTGTGTGTGTGTGTGTGTGTGTGTGTGTGTGTGTGTGTGTGTGTGTATTCTTTAATAACTGTTCTTTTCTTGCAGGCATTGAGGTGTGGAACCCGGCCTTTGACGTGACCCCTCATCAGCTCATCACAGGGGGGATCATCACAGAGCTGGGGGTCTTCCTCCCCTCAGAGCTCCAGGCAGCGCTCACCGGTCGCCTCACAGCCCTCTAAGGCACCCGGTGCCCCCAGCAGGTTGCGGTGTTCTACTGCACATTTACATCAGACACTAAAAAAAGACACTTGTCTACACTGAGGGTGCACAGGTTGTGGTTTTAGTTTTGCTTGGCTCTATACACACTTGCTGTTAAATGTCAGGTGTGCTCACAGGAAAAACAAACAAAAGCAAATCTTTCATCTCTCTGGCAGCCGGAAATCAAGCATCCACTGCAGGAAGTCCAGATGACGCGCAGCATCTCCTTCAGTCCAACTGTTTTCTAAGCTTCACACACCACCTTTCATTTTCTTTTGTTGCCTCTTTCTCTCCAAACAGCTTCTGCATCTACTGAAAAGGCTTAGTTGGGCTCTAATCTCTCAATTGTGTTTGGCAAAACTAATAATTTGAGGAAATGTTTTCGGACTTCAGCATTTATGAAAAATGACACCACTTATCCGTGGATTTCAGAGCTGTGGTGGTTTCCTAAATGCTGCTCCTTCCTGCCAGTAGTGTGTACATATGTAGAAAACTAACCTGCTACTAAAAGGTGTTCTAACCAGAAATGTGGTTACCGTATTTAAAGTCCAATTAGTCATCTAAAATGTTATATTAACATTTGATTTCTGTTCAGTGCTGAACTGTTGGTAGAGGACTGATCCAAATGATAGCTTTTAGATTTTCACACATTTTTAGTGATGTGGAATAATTGAGTTTTTCTTTTGATTTGCAGCAAATATTTGAACAAATTCTCACTAATCAGCTGAACCCTTTTCCAGTTCATAGCTGTATTTATACCTCACTTCATATATACTTCCCACCACGGCTAATCTGTACTGTATTATACCACACCTGTATTATTACAATGTACCTGTGGTCATGACACCTACCCTTACATTCAGACTGCCCCCCCCCCCCCCCCCACCACCACCACCACCACCGAAAGGTCTGACATTTTCATTCATTTAGAGCTGTTTAAGCAACAATAGTTTAATTTGTTAGGCTGTAAACTGGGTTTAACCAGACCACCTGAAGAAGTGTAAGTAGCCTCTGGGAAAAGGATGTTCAACATACCTGTGAAAGTCTGGCCCTATCCGGGTCATTTAAGTTGGACCACAAGTCAAAATAAAAAGCAATAAATTGTGACTCTTATCCAGGGGCGGACTGGCCAAACACATGGCAGCGGACCGGCAGCCACCCACCCCCACCCCTGCTCTGACAGCCAGAGGGAAGAAGAACATTTCTGCGTTCCTCCAATATCTTGGAAAATATCCAAATATTCTTGAAAATTTCTGACTAACTCAGAGAATTTTGGCGTATTTTTTGTGTGTCAAATCAAAATAACTGTTGCGTGTTTTTAAGCCTGCTGTCGTTTATGGTTATCGCTTCAGATGATCTAAAAGAGTCAGATAAATACCGTGGGTTTGGGTTAGTCCCAAACAAAAACATGAGACTGCTGTCATTTACACTTCAACTGTGAGAGAGTGAAGAAAAATTCAGGACCACTTGGTAGGAATTTTAAAGAAAATAATTATTACTTTGCTCCTGCAAACAAGCAAGAATTCAGTAGATTAAAGACCAGTAAGGCACAGCTAATGCAGACATGTCTGTGTATGGCTACAAAAATTCCCATAAGAACATTTAACTGTTAAAACCACATATTTTTACGTTAACATCCTGCAGGAAGGAGATGACTGTTTAGTTTTAAAGGCACACTTGGCAGTTTTGAACCTTATCTCCTTGCTGTGCTTTTGTCTTTTTAACACCTTGATCTAGCAGCTGAAACGTCTCCCAGCCTTCATTAGTGTCTACAGCAGCGATTCATCACTAAAATAAACAAACTGCTGTGTTTATGTTTCAAACATGCAGTGCTGGATCCAGACTGCAGCGCCAGGCAGATGTTGAACGCTGTTTGATAATACTGAGCGATGCTCTATGGGTCAGTGGGTTAGGGTTGGCATTAAAATTGGACTTTTACCGCCATTGTATCATAGTACAAGGTAAGACTATCACTTTTACAGTTTTGTAAAAAAAAAATCACTTTTCTAAAAAAGGGAAAACTCCGTATTAAGATGTGAGCGGGGGTGTCTTTATTTTGTTTAATAATCTGTGAAAATCACTGCGACGATGTGTGGACTGCATGAAGATGTTGCACTAACCATTTTCTCATTTCTAATTTAGGCCCTCCCCTAACTTTTACATTTCATTCCCCAAAAAGTTGTTAAATGTTAGGAACATATTCACTTCTCAGAATTACTGCATTTTCAGTCCGTTTGTGCCGTTAAGATCGGCTTTACAGAAACATCACAGACATTTGTACATGTCAGAAAGGCCATCGAACAAAGCGTTGGAGTTGCACCTTCGGTCTTTTCTTTTTACAGCTTAACTCTGCATAATATTGAGCTGAGTAAGACTTAACACCTGGGAGCTTTTATTTTAACCTCACATACCTCCAGTTATCCAGGTAACTTCCTTTTACTGAGTTGGAGGCTTTTATTTTGAAAGTCTTTTCTCTAAATGTGCCGTACGCTTTCTTACATTTTCTGGCTTATTTTCCAACAGAGCCCGGATAAACGCATCTTGCAGCAGAGGATGAACAATTAGACGGTTATAACTGAGTTGTGCATAACTTAGCAGCTGGGAGATGATCAAACTTGGGGAAGATGGTAGTTGGTGAACATAAAATACTGGTTTCAATTAAAAAGAACAATAAAGAGTTTATTTGAAAAATAGTTTTACTTCTCTACTTCACAGTACCAGAACTAGGCCCAAAATCCCAAGGTGCTGTTTAACACCATCAGCAGCATTGTCTCTCCTGCCTCTCCTACAGCCTCCATCCACTCTATTGCAGACTGTGAGAACTTTCGGTCTTTCTTTGTGGACAAAGTCAGTAAGGTTAGATCTAGCATCTCTCCTTCAGCCTTATCGCCGCCTCTCCCGACTCCAACCAGGCCCCTCATCCTAGATAGCTTTGCTCCTGTTTCTTTGCCTGAGTTAACCAAACTAGTTAACTCTATGAAGACCTCTGCATGCCCCCTCCACATCTTACCCTCATCTTTGTTTAAAAGTGCTTTTCAGTCCATCGGTCCCAGCGTGTTCTCTATAATTAATGCTTCTCTGGTTTCTGGTCAGGTCCCTGATTACTTTAAGAACGCTGTACTCCACCAGCTTCTTAAAAAACCGAGTCTTGATGCCTCTCTCCATAGCAGCTTCAGACCCATCTCTAAACTTCTGTTCATCTCCAAGATCTTGGAAAAGGTTGTGGCTAAACAACTCACAGCTGCTCTTGATGAACATAACATCTATGATAGCTTCCAGTCAGGTTTTCGTAGAGCTCATTCTACTGAAACAGCTCTTCTTAGGGTCTGTAATGACCTTCTGACCCACAGTGATGCAGGGGACTGTTCTGTTCTGGTCCTGCTGGACCTGACTGCCGCCTTTGACACTGTTGACCATCACCTGCTACTGGAGAGGCTGAGAGACTGGGTAGGCCTATCAGGATCTGCTCTGGAGTGGTCCTCCTCTTATCTTTCTGAGCGCTCCTTTTCGGTGGCCGTCTCCAAGTTTAGGTCCTCCACCACCTCCCTTACCCAGGGTGTCCCACAAGGTTCTGTGCTGGGGCCTCTGCTCTTCCTCCTCTATCTGCTTCCTCTTCAGCACATCCTGAGCTCCATCAAAGGAATCTCCTACCATCTTTAT